CAAACAAGGAGACGTCCAGTAGAAATGGCATCAGACGCCTAGCAAGCATATATAACAAAATTGAATTTACCAGTCGCGTTTGTTTCTCCAATGAATAACACTTATCCAGAGCTTCATCAATTTTGCCAGCCTGACACAAAAATAAGCAATATAAAATTTACCGTAGCGAGGCTCTGAAATATTGGAAGCTGCTCATCTACGGTGGTGGAGAAAGCATGTTCCATCTGGCTCTGGTTCTGGGAGTCCAGATAGGGGTTGGAGAATTTGCCATAGAGATTTTTGAGTCGGTCAGGCTTTACTAAGGTAGCAATCCGCTACAGTTTGCACGTCGATTGAGACCACGAGAAATTTGAGTAAGATACGATTGTTTATTCTCCCAGAGTGCATGTTTTAATTTATATTACTGGCTCAATGAACAATGGATCGGTGCTCGTGATCATCTAAGCGGTTTGCAAAAGAGAGAAAGTGCTTAACATGAAGTCTTGTCTATTGGTAAGAGAAATCGCTAGACAAACATGTCAATATACATAGATTCCGTTGGAGGATTTGATGGACGTAATAGAAATTGAGTCCTGTTTTTCCTATTATTCAGGTATTCGCATTTCTCCAATATCGCACTATTTAGTATTAATCTTAAATTCGTTAATCTTTTGAAAACTGGATTTTAAAACGAGCAAAGGTTAATTCGTACAATGAAAGGTATATATTAAAAATATGCATGTAAATAAACTGTTAGGAAGCAATTTCTAGTTTTCTTCTAAAAATAATTTCTAAATGAAAGATGATTTAATCATTATTAGAAAAATTTGAAAAAAATAAAAAACTAAAAATTAATTTCAAAGAGAAAATTTTTCTTAATTATACCTAGACCTTGCAATTTGTTTATGCTGGTCGACTAAAGTTAGTAAAGTCTCTGCGGGAAATAGCATTCTTATTTTGTAGGTCTGTCGGAATGATCCTGTTTTTGTCAACTATCTTCCTGTTTCTTTCTTTTGCGAGTAATGCTAATGCGTACAACTGGACGAAGTATCATTCCAATAATGAGGTGGCAAGTATTCTAGCAGAAGTAAATGAGAAATGTAAAAACATATCATTTTTCTATCATCTCGAAACGAGGAGAACTGATACTACTTTTGGGGGTAACAAACTATATGTGTTAGCTTTCGGTCATCCAGCAGATCGTCATAAAGCAGGTATAGTTGAGCAAATTTTTCTTTACTCTTAGATTATCATAATTATAGTTGTTTACCATTTTATTTTCACATAATTCTAGAAATCCCTGAAGTAAAGCTGATTGCTAACATGCACGGAAATGAGGCTGTTGGTCGGGAACTAATGCTTCGTTTGGCGGACTATATCTGTTATCAATACCTGAACGGTGATGAATTTGTCAATTGGCTCGTACTGAACACTAGGCTTCATATAATGCCATCAATGAATCCTGATGGATTTGAATTGGCTACACCTGGAGTAAATTCAGTTTCTTTTGACTTATTTTCACTCTAGGATGAAATGAAAGGTCGCACAAATGGCAATAATGTGGACTTGAATCGTAACTTCCCAGATTCCGACAGACTTTTCTACCAATGGTCAGCAGTCGATAACAGTGAAAGATTTCATTTTTTTAATGATTACTACAGATCTCCCAAGGTTTATTTTTCATTTAAATGTGCACTTTTAATGACATTCTTATCTAATTTTCGTGGTTTGTCACTTTTTAGCCTGAAATAGAGACTATGATGGTTGAAGAATGGCTTGAAGCAGTACCTTTTGTCCTCTCAGCGAATATTCATGGAGGAGCCCTAGTCGCCAACTATCCTTTTGATGGTTCCATTGATGGTACAAGACGAAAGTCCCCAACACCCGATGATTCAATTTTTGTGTAAGCACCTTTTTGATGTTCTGTGTCGATGTTGCAGGATAGATGGAAAGTCCCCAGATGTCATTCAACAGAGTTAGAACTTACAAGACCAAGTTTATTGCATCTGAATTTGAAGGAAAAGAGGTACAGAGCGTTACCACAGCTGCAAATAGGTAGATACTAGTGGTAGAGATGGGATCAATAACCAAAGCTGGGGGCTGAATTAAGAAATCTAAACCCATAAATTATTCGGTTAGGGTTATAGATAAGAGACATGGTTGTGGAAGCTATCGAAAAATAGGAACTGAAAGGAGCTAGTATTGTCATGAATTCGCTTATTCCTTCTCTATGCAAATCTTCCAGCTATTCATTTATTTACTAGGAGTTTGGCTGAAGCATACTCCGGCTATCATCCACAAATGAAAACTGGCAAAGTCGTTTGTCACTATGATAATGCTTTTCCAAAAGGCATAACAAACGGTGCTGCTTGGTATCCAGTCGAAAGTGGTATGTACTTTTTTATTATGGGCAATAAAAATATACAATAATGATTTTCGTTAATAGTTGAATAAAGTATAAGTAAATCTGATATAATAATCGAATGAAAAGTAGAAATCATTTTTTTCGCATAATTTTTAATCGAAATTTAAAACTGTTATTTGAAATGTAAGCATTCCTAATGATAGTAAACGTTTATTCAATTAAAATAGGCCTTTTTTAATATTGCTAATTTATTAAATTATTTCAGTTACCATATGATATCTTAATATTAAATAAAATTAAAGTATTCTTATAGTTCTGCGGTGGGTTGGTCGTTAAAGACTCAATCGAGAGCTAATCATTTGATTTTTCAATAAAAATTGCACATTGGGTTATTTGGGATTAGGCTTGGGACTTATGGGGATTCGGTAAATTTAAACATTGAAGAGGCTAAATAGATGTCAAGGAGGATGGAGTAGAATTTATTAATAAAATGGGGGATTTTCAGGTTTCGTGTTGTGCAACTTTCACCTAGGGTATTCATCCAATTCCGGCGTTCTGAGTTCGCACCCCGAGATTTGGAAATTGTGTTTCTATTTTTTCATTGGCCAGGTGAATCGCTTTGTAAGCCCTCATAACATTGCATAAATTTTTGCTTCTATTATCCGATTGTTTGAATATTCGACAAGATTTTTTAACGGATAGAATTTCTCATCGTAGATGCGCTTCTGCCTGCAGAGTCAAATTAGTGGTCATGATGGAGATATGCCAAGCAGAAACAAAGAATAAAGTCAAAATATTTAAAAAAAATCGCTTGGGTTCATTTTCGCCTTCAAATTTGTCATCACTTGCTCATAATTTTGAACATTTATTTATATCAAATGGCAGGCATTTTGATAGTTTCATTAGCAATATAGGTGACTTCAAGCCTCACAGAGAAGAAATATCAAGGTGAAAAAATTCGAGAGAGGGGGGGGGGACAGAAGAGTGCTTCAAAGATGTGAAAGAGACAGACACAAAGGTAGAAAAAGGTGATGTGAGTACTGTGGAAGTAGTCGAATATGACATACAGTGGGGTGATGGTAGTTAGAAGCCAGAAGTCAACTGCTGGTTAATAGACTCTTTTGCCGTATGAGTATACGTTGCCCAGTGTGCACCACGTGGAGGTAAGTCTTTTGCACACCCCCAATTTGGAACATTATTGTATGTTCTTCAAATTTTAATATCTGTCCCCTGAACTGAGTGAATCGAGCTGAAACTTAAACCTACCAGTTAAGTTGGGTGATTGATCATCCTATACAATTTCTCTTATCATCCT